AAAAATGACTTGAACGGCATGAAAATTTGGGTAATATAAAAAAAAACTATCTATATGCAACCTAGTGAGCCATGTTCGGTGGGATGAGAGCTGAGCAGCAACTGCAGAAAATGAGTTAATTTAACTTATTAACGCTCCTTTATGTTGGACATGTCTCCCTACTAGAAGATCGCATCTAATATACTAGTGTGCATCTCTCACACCTCAGTAAACACACGAAAACAACACCAAAATGATGTCGAGCAACAAAACTAGAACATTGAAAATACTACCTAATAATCTAATTCTACCCTAACACAACATCTAACGCAGAGTGTCTTAGTCACAACATCTAAATATGTGCAGGGTGTAGGTAAAAAAAGTTGGCATATGTTTTGATAGGGTCGTCGTCCTCGGCCCCATTCGACCCAATCCTAAGGATCCAAAATTTCTAATAGGGGCCACTAAATGTTGGTTTTGTATGAACAAAAGCTTTTAAATTGTTGACCTTGTGTATGGCGTAAACTATATGCAGTAGTTTCAAAATATATTTAAAAAATAGGATGCATGAGTAATAAAAATATAATTTTTATTTTCATTTTTAAATTAGGACCTAAGGAAGAAAAAGCCTAAGTGACATCTATTATAACCCTTGAAACCTTAACACAACATACTTGTACTAGTCACGGTATGATAGCCACTATTGCCCACCAAGACATCCTCACAAGAAATACTCGCCACAACATCGTGATCGACAAAGGTTCACTCAGCTAGCAAGTATGGTCTGTCATTGAGAAAATTGGGAACACACATATAGATGCAAAGTAGTCCATTGCATTATGACCATATCTTCTAAGCAAGAGCGATCACTAGATAACAAGTATTTGTCACAAGTATATGGTGACATATACTAGTGACAAATATGCCTGCAATGCAAAGATGCACATGCATGGCACACCCCACAAGTGATTTTGTGCTTGGTTGCTTGAAGTATAGGACGTTGCGGAGAAAAATTACACATTGCCCCAATAGCAACCAAACACATAAGTGAGTGATAAGCTCATGCAATACATATAACATATCATGGCAGTGTTATGTGCAACATGACCAGTGCACCAAATGGATTCAGAGGCCTTTGAGGCAAGATCCATGTGAGGTTGTAGCAATGTGCCCAAGTGAACACATATCATGCATTTTGAGGATTCATAGGCCTTTGGAGAGTGATCCATGCCAAATGACATGACTTAACAAACCTATGGTGCATATGAGGTGGTGTAATTCTTGTTAGGGAGAATTACACGTAGAATAGGCTTGACGTGCAAGTCATCTCGTAAGGAGACAAATGAAAGTCTAAAAATAAGTGTATAAGAAATAGTGACTCGAGAAAATGCCTATGCTAGTTTGAAGCAGTGTTGTAGGAGGTGAAGTAATGTAATTCTCATTATAGAGAATTACACATCGGGCAGGCTTGATGTGCAAGTCGTCCTCTATGCTAACATGTGAGCGTCTGACATGAGCGTGCAAGAATAGTGACTTTGAAAGCCTCGAACATGCAATTCTGGGCATTCAGGATGATGCGCAAGCAACAATACAATGGCAAGGAATGTGCAAATTCAAACGTGAGGGATGTTACACACCATGACATAAGGATGTCGAGAGGAACGAATACTCATCATGAGCATATGTGCGCATTTGCTCATAAGTGCAAAATAAGGTGCTGGTGTGAATGTGCTACTACAAGCAATGTGAGAAAGCATACATGCAATAATGCAACAATAAATCAAAATGACCAATCGACACAGTCGCCGAAGGGGAAGCCGATCGATCCAGTCAATGGAAGGTGTCGATTGGAATGACATGGGCGATTGATTGGCCCGATCAAACTGGTGACAGTTGATCAATCAAATAAATGGGAAACATTGATTAGGACGATTAGTTCGATGGCGACCGATCTAATGAGTAGGTGGAAAGCGTCAATCAGACCGACGTGGGTGGCTTATTAACAAGGGATGGTTGATTGATGTGATCAAATCAATGAAATTTGATTGATTGAATCAATAGAAAAAAGTTGATTAGGACGATCGGTTCAAAGGTGACTAATCGATTGAGTTGACGAAAGTGTCGAACGAGGGTGGTCAATTAATAAAGGATGGTTGATTGATGTGATTAAATCAATGATAGTCGATTGATCAAATTGATGGGAAATGTTGATTGGGACGATTAGGCTGGTGGCGGTCGATCGGCCGAGTAAATGGAAAGTGTCATTCAAGTTGATGTGGGTGGCTGATCAATGACAAAGGGTCGATTGATGTGATTGAACTTGTGACATCGATCGATTGAATCAACAGGAAAAAGTCGATCAAGACGAGCGGACTGGTGGCCCCAATCGACGTAAAGTGTCGATCAGGTTGACGTGTGTAGCCAACCAACAAAGTATGGTTGATTGATGCAATCGATCAAATTGACAAGAAAATATCAATCAAGACAATCAGGCAAGTGGTGACTAATCAACCGTGTCAACGAAAAGCGTTCAATTGGGCTGACATGGGTGGCAGTCGATCAATGAAGAATGTTCAATTCATGTGATTAAATCGGTGATGGCTGATCGAATGAATTGACTAGAAAAATTCGATAGGCTAGATCGAACCGGTGGCGACTGATCAACCAAGTCGACTGAAAGTGTCGATCAGGCTGATGAGGGTGCTCAATCGACTAAGGATGATCAATTTATGCGATCAAATCGGTGATAGTCGATAAAATCGACAAAAAATAGTCAATATAGTAGATCAAGAGTGCGAACAATCGACGAAACATGCATAATTGGGTATTTTGATGCAATTTTAAAATTCATGTGATGCGCGACAAAAAATGTAAACACATGCAAGAAATGAGACACAATTAAGTTTGATGACAAAATAGGCTCATCCTAAGGGTCTTACGGGGAGCTTAGGGTGAAATGGTGAAGGCATAGATATTGTTCGTTACTCTTCATAACAGAGGGCCTACCTCTAGCCGCTAGGTAAAAGTTAAGGAGCTTTTTCGTGTGAGATAAATATTCACGAAAGTGAAGGCTTTCTTGTACGGACATGGCCTCCGTTGTTTAAGGAATGAGGACCAAAGAGATTCCTCGTATTATAGCTTGGAATGGCTTCATCCCATTCATCAAACATTGAAATCGCTAAATGAACACGAGGTTACTAATCCCCTGGACGATTAGGTTAATGTTTTAGGGGAGGTTTCACTCATGGATTCATAGGGGGAACACAAAAAGCTCATAACCTATGGGGCTTTTCTCTATCACAAAAACCCTAACCTAAACCCTCTATCATCCAAACCTAGGGGGGTATGCGAAAAGAAATTGCAAGAGATTCAAAAATTTCTTCAATGTGATGGTTGAGGAAGCATGCTCTTTGCTTTTCCACGCTCTGAAGTTGTTAGGAAGAAGCTATCCTTCCTCTTTAGAAGAGATGACTCTTTGCTACCTTAGAAGGAGAGATGAAGTCCTTCTCTCCTCTACAGTGCAAGTACACCAAGAAGTACCCCTCACACACTTGAAAGAATGGTGGAAGAATAAGAATAAGAAGTTGCGTAGAAGATTTGATGGAAGAAGAAAAAGAAGAGGAAGTTGGGGATGCAAGAAGAAAAAAAAAACCTTCTCTTCGCCTTTCTCTAAAGCTCTCCACCTCAAGGAACTTCTCAAGCTCAAAGAACTCTCCAAGGAAGAATATGGCTAACTCTCCCAAGCTCTCTCGAGCAAGAAGAAGAAGAAGAAGCTCTAGTAAAAACCTCCCTCTCAAGCTCTCTCCAAGAAGAAGAAGAAGCTATAGCCTCTCAAAAATTAACTCCAAAATCTTTAAAGGAAGTGTATGCAAGAAGAGTGTTGAAGAAGCCTCTTTTCCGTCTTTTTTCCTAAAATGGAATGCAACTCCTTCCTAAAACCTTCCCTAAAAGGTCCAAAAAGGTTCCATCCATCACCTTTTCCTCTCCCCCATTCATATATTCACTATATTCAAGAGAAACCCACATTTTTTTGCAGCCGTAGGGCTTGGTCCGAGGTCCCTAGCACCTACTTTATGTCCTCTCAAATTTCCGTAGCTTTTTCTGGCTCTTTCGGGTGCCTAGGCGCCCTGGACTTGTGCTAAGGCACCGGGCCTAGCACCTACTTTCTCAAAGGGCGATGCCTACTTTCTCTTGAGGCCAATGGGGGCATTTATGGCCGCCTTGGCGCCGGTTTGACTCCGAAAACTTTGATTTTTGACAGAAGCACTTGACGAGGGGTTTTAACAATCAGTAAGATATGAAAGATCAAATATGACTAAAATATAATCCCTTAATTTCAAAGATAAGAATTTTTAAAAACATTATATCAGGAAATTCAATGCCAGCGGGCACCCAAATCACCACACAGGCGCGACGCGCTTAACCCTAATCTTCCTTAAAACACACACTGGAAGGGTTTTATGGAGTCCTCAAGCTATGAGAGGTTACATATGCACGTCATACGCCCCCTTAAAACTCAAAAGAGCATTCAAACTTATGTGACATAAAAAATTGATGACAATAATGACTGAACACTTTTCTATTTACAATGATTTGTTGACACAAACTAATTATGCTCAAAATAAATTATCAAATGCCACTCTCTCTGATTATAAGCGGATTAAGCAACGGGCAAAATGCCTTTTGCTCTCCAAAGGGAAGATGATTTAAAATGTATTTATCAAAGGATTAAAACAAAAAATAAATATAATTTTGTTAAAGAATTCATTGTTAATGATAGATATATGTACAATAATAAGAGGGAATTGCCAAAGAGACTATTTCCCAATGCGCTTAATTGCCAAGTTCATGATTTGACCATTTCAAAAACACTTCGTAAATACATAAGAATTGTGTGAACCGTTTGGTATTTATGTAAAATTTTATATTTATTTAATATTTTTTTTAAAAATAGAAAACTACTAGAAATAATACGATGAAAAAGTTATTAATGCGTCAAATGCACTCAATTTTCACCAGAATTTACAACTCGAGTGATCGCGTTCAACCGGAAGGGGAGGAGTCATTGTTTCAGAGATGGATGGCAAACATGTTGTCGTCTGCGACAATGGCACAGGGGTAATCTCATTCTCAACTCCGTTCAATATCGGTATTCTTTTCTTTCCGTCACCAGATCTTCGTTAGATTATCGTATAACTCTTGTTCAAGCCATTCTCAAATCTCCATTATTGACTGGTGTTTTGCTGGATCATGGATCTTAGGCTTTTTCAGTTTTGTTTTTCTGCGGTTAGAATTTGATCCTAACTTATCGCGAAAGTGATTTTGATTATTCTTAGCTTATTCAATCCTGCTACTTTTCCTGATCAAATGGGTCATGCTGGCTTGTAATGGGACTGCTTAGCTCCAAGTAAGATTTAATAAATCATATTAAGCTAGATTCAGTAAATCTTGAGAGCAGCACAACCTAAAAACTGTTTGGCACGTCACCTTTAATAATTGGGTTTTTTCCTACATTTAAATTCGGTAAACGCTATGAATTGTGTGATTCAACAATCTTGAATTAACTAATAACGAGTCTGAAATGGGATTTTAACAAAACAACAGTATTTGAAGTCTCCAAATTTTCTTTTTGGGTCATTTACATGCATTGCACACTATGCTTATGTATTTACACATCTCAAACCTACACTTTCATATTCGCACACAGAGCACTCAAATCCTTAATATCACAAAAAAAATTTCACTATCACCACTTTTTAAATGTGGAATACACCTTTTCATGCATATGTTTATAGCACCAAACTGTTGTTTATGTAAATATGAAAGTTTAGGTGTGAGATATGTAAATACATAAGATTTGGGTATATAAATTCTGCCTAAATAGGGGGAGAAACAGTCTTCCATATGGGATGAGCAATGGTGTTTTTTTTCAATTCACTGACTTTTTTGCTGCTAGTCTCTACTAATCTGTGAACTCTACTGATCTGTGACGCTTGCAGTATGTGAAGTGTGGTTTTGCTGGTGAGAACTTTCCTACTTCTGTGTTTCCTTGTGTGGTTGGTAGACCAATGCTGCGGTATGAAGAATCACTCATTGAACAAGAGCTGAAGGTTTGAGGTCAAAAGTCTCATTCCCCTTTTATGTATTGAAATTAAAACAAACGGATATTTACATGCCGCCCAGTTCCTATGTATTTACATACTCAACACCTAACACTACTATACTCAAATTTTTTTACATTTATACCGCCCAAATCTTTCTTATCACATAAAAAGTTATCACATAAAAAATACCACTTTTTTAACTTTTAAAAAGTAGGAAGATTTACATACATACCGCTAAATTCCTTTGCATTTACATATCTAACATCTAAACTTCGATTTCTACATACATATCTTACCTTTGCATGAAAAGGCGTATTTCACTTTTTAGAAGTTAAGATGGTGGTATTTTTGATGTGATATGAAGGTTTTTGGTGCTAGAAATGTAAGAAGTAAAGTTTAGATGTTAGATATGCAAATACATAGGAATTGGGTAGTCTGTATGTAAATGCCGCTAAATGTAAAATACACTTTTCTTGTATAGGTAAGGAGGCATATATTTGAACATTGAATTTTATGTGTTGGATATGTAGATACATAGGTTAAGTGGTACATATATAAATCTTTCTAAAATAAAATTAGTAAATTCCGCACCTCTGCTTGGTTTCATTAACATGTTACTCTAGTAAACTCTTGCTCTTTTGACTGTTCAGGACATTGTTGTGGGTGAATCTTGTGCAGACTTTAGAAATCAACTTGATATATCTTATCCTGTCAATAATGGAATCGTACAAAACTGGGAAGATATGGGCCATGTGTGGGATCATGCATTTTTTAATGAACTAAAGGTATCAGTGGCGATCTTTCTATATTTAAGAATTTACAGATTGGGGTTAGTTTCAGTATAATTTTATCAGTTTTTATCTACTGTTAATTTCAGAATTTTGTGTCCTATTTCTCTATTCATTCATTCAAGTCTACAGAGAAAACTGATAATATGATTCTTTTTTTGAATTTTGCTTCCTTCAGATAGATCCAACTGAATGCAAGATTCTACTCACAGACCCTCCTCTTAATCCTTCGAAAAACCGTGAAAAAATGGTGAGTTGACTCCCTTAATTTTGAAGTTGGTCTACTGTCTTATATCATTATATTTTGGAGATTTACATACATACCATTCAATTCCTATGTATTCATATATCTAACACATAAACTACAATTTTTGCATACATACCATCTTAACTAAGCATGAAAAGGTGTATATTACTTTTAAAAGTTCAAAAGTGGCATTTGTTATGTGATTTGAATGATTTGGGTGGTATAAGTGCAAAAAGTAAAGTTCAGGTGTTAGATATGCAAATAGATAGGAAATAGGAATTGGCAGGTATGTATGTAAATGCCCCCATGCCCCTATTTTAGAAGTATCACTCTGTTGATTTTCTAGCTGAACCACACTTTGTTTTTGGGTATGCTTGTTAATACCAGATAGAGACCATGTTTGAGAAGTACAATTTCACTGGTGTCATCATTCAAATCCAAGCTGTTCTAACATTATATGCTCAAGGTTATTATTATGATGCCCCGGATCTTTGAAGTTGTTGAATTAACTCTTGTTTTTTGTTCCATATATCACTTTCAGATTTCATGGTATATACAACAATAATAAAAGAAATGAAAATTTACATACCACACAATTCTTATGTATTTAGATATCCGTCACCTCAAGTTTGATAATTACAATCATAACACTTTGGTGTTATAAACCAATGTATGAGGTGTATTTCACTTTTATAAAGTTGGTAAGAGTGTTATTTTTTATGCGATATTAAATATGTGTGTTATGCATGTAAATAGGAAAGTTTAGTTGCTAAATATGTAAACCTCATGTAAATGCCCCTAAAAGAAAATAAATGAATGGATCAAGTAACACATATTTCCCGCTCGTATATGTAAAGTCTTTTCCCCTCCCATTTTACTGACTGTTGCTTATTAATCTTTATTGCATTTCAATAGGATTGTTGACTGGTCTTGTCATCGACTCTGGAGATGGTGTCACACATGTGGTAATTATTTTACATTTTTAGACTAGCTTTATTTGTCCTTGCAAAAAGCATTTCTGCTATTTATTGCTCGAAATGTTTTTGCACTTTTTGTTTAAAATTTTGTCAGTTAGGCTTGAGTTGAGCCATGTTCTGCGACCCTACCCATGAGAATAAGTGTTTCAAAAACACACAGAACAATCTTTGAGAATTTGCTCCCAAATGTTTTTAAAACGAATACTTTTTGAAAGCATATAACAAACGGCTTCTGAAAAAACACTTTTCTGATACTTTCTTTATGTTTTGGAGGAAACAAAAGAGCAAGAAATAGAAATTGAGCTAATATTTGTCTAAATCAATTTTCTTACAAATCTGTCCTCCAGTGCAATGTTGGCATCCTTGTCAAGTTTATTTTTCATGGTAGTTCAATTCTCATAGAGCTCACAAAAGAT